AAGGTGCCAATCCTTAATGGGGAGCGGGGGAACAATCTTTAAAGCGGAACTTCCCCTTTTGGGTGGAACTCCGCTTTAAATAAATGCTCCGACATGAAACATAAGATTCCAAATTGTGAGCACCCAATACCAACATAGCATACAGGTGAAACTCGAAAAATTAGAATATCGTGCAAAAGTTCATTTATTTCAGTAATGCATCTTAAAAGGTGAAACTAATATATGAGATAGACTCATTACATGCAAAGCAAGAGAGTTCAAGCCGTGATTTGTCATAATTGTGATAATTATGGCTTATAGCTCATGAAAACTCCAAATCCCCAATCTCAGAAAAATAGAATATTACATGCAATCAATAAAACAAGGATTGTATATATAACAATATCGGACCTCTCAAAAGTATAAGCATGCATATGTACTCAGTACTTGGTTTGGGCCCCTTTTGCAGCAATTACTGCCTCAATGCGGCGTGGCATGGAAGCTATCAGCCTGTGGCACAGGTGTTATGGAATAACAGGATGCTTCAATAGCGGCCTTCAGCTCTTCTGTATTGTTCGGTCTCATGTCTCTCATCTTTCTCTTGGCAATGCCCCATAGATTCTCTATGGGGTTCAGGTCAGGAGAGTTTGCTGGCCAATCAAGCACAGTAAATCCACGGTCATTGAACCAGGTTTTGGTGCTTTTGGCAGTGTGGGCAGGTGCCAAGTCCTGCTGGAAAATGAAGTCAGCATCCCCATAAAGCTCGTCTGCGGAGGGAAGCATGAAGTGCTCCAAAAGCTCCTGGTAGACGGCTGCATTGACCCTGGACTTAATGAAGCACAGTGGACCAACACCAGCAGATGGCATGGCTCCCCAAAAACACAGACTGTGGAAACTTCACACTGGACTTCAAGCATCTTGCAGCGTGTGCCTCTCCAATCTTCCTCCATACTCTGGGTCCTTGGTTTCCAAATGAGATGCAAAAGTTGCTCTCATCAGAAAAGGGGACTTCGGACCACTGAGCAACAGACCAGGTCTGTTTTTCCTTACGCCAGGTAAGACGCTTCTGACGTTGTTTGTTGTTCAGGAGCGGCTTGACAAGAGGAATATGACATTTGAAACCCATGTCTAGGATCCATCTGTGTGTGGTGGCTCTTGATGCACTGACTCCAGCCTCAGTCCACTCCTTGTGAAAGTCCCCAACACTTTTGAATGGCCTTTTCCTGACATTCCTCTCTAGGCTGCGGTCATCCCTGCTGCTTGTGCACCTTTTTCTTCCACACTTTTCCCTTCCACATAACTTTCTATTAATGTGCTTTGATACAGCACTTTGGGAACATCCACCTTCTTTTACAATTACCTTTTGAGGCTTTCCCTCCTTATGGAGGGTGTCAATGATGGTTTTCTGCACAACTGTCAGGTCAGCAGTCTTTCCCATGATTGTGATTCCTACTGAACCAGACTGAGAGACCATTTAAAGGCTCAGGAACCCTTTGCAGATGTTATGGCTTAATTAGCTGATTAGAGTGGGACACTTTGAGCCTAGAATATTGCACTTTTTCACAATATTCTAATTTTCTGAGATTGTGGATTTGGGGTTTTCATGAGCTGTAAGCCATAATCATCACAATTATGACAAATCACGGCTTGAACTATCTTGCTTTGCATGTAATGAGTCTATTTCATATAGTAGTTTCACCTTTTAAGTTGCATTACTGAAATAAATGAACTTTTGCATTATATTCTAATTTTTCTAGTTTCACCTGTAGATGCCTGTCCCAACCACCAGTTCAGGGTATAAGGCCCATGTAAAGCTAGAGCACCTCCCAACTTTTTGACATGTGAAAGGACACCTTATTGAACAAAGAATGGTGGCAAAGGGCACCCATCTGCCAGGTATTTGAACATAAATAATTAAAACTGAAAACATGATTGGTTAAATCACAAAGTGCTTTCTTTCATTAGTTTTCCTGAATAATGGCTTTTGAAAAAAAAGAATACAATAATTTTGAGGTAGGCTGAAGGTTTAGCATACTATAACATTTCTGGTAGTTATATAGTAGATTTTTTCATAGTGGCCTATTCAACAGTCCTAAAAGAGGGACAACTGAGCAGTTCCAAGACAAGGTCATCCAGTGTCCAAGACAAAGATGATAAACTGCATCCCTCCTCAGCACCCCACCACCCCACAAGTTCCCCTTCTTATTATCCCGTCCCACCACCCATTGTGTGAAGACAGGGACAGGGCCAATATTTTTGTGCACACCAAATGTTTTTAATGTTTGTGGTATGCAAACAGATTTAGAGTTTATGGTACACTGCAGTGAACTGAAAAGTTTAAAATTAGTGCACAAAATATGGGGCTAACAGTGGCAAAAGAAAAAAATGTGCTTGGGTTGGTGTCACTAAAATGACAAGAATGTACCTGTCACTCAAAGGAAAAATGTTCCTGAGTCAGTGGTTTAACTGGAAGGAGAAATTCACAAGCCGGTGGTGTAGAGAAAAAATGTCCTTACATCTGTGGTGTCACTGAAAGGAAAAATGTTCCTGAATTGATGGTATCTTAGGAAGGAAAAAATGTCCGAGTCCGTGGCGTGATTGGAATGAAAAAAATGTCCAAGAAGCAATAGTGTCACTCAAAAGAATAATATTATTGAGTCTGTGGTGTCACTGGAAGGAAACAATGTGCCTGTATTGGTGGTGAAAAAGTTTCCCTATGATGGTGGTGTCATTTGAAATTAAAAATGTCCCTCAGTGGCCCTCATTGGTGGACAAAACAGCACCTTAAAGCTCCCCCTTTCTTAGTAAAGAGCTTTTCCCTTAACCCCTCAAATTCTCACCCACCACAAAGCTCTTCCCCAACCCCCCCAGAATGGAGCTCTCCCCCTAACCCCCCTTCCCCACTACAAAGCTTGCTCTCTCTTTCCACCCAGTTAAGAGCTCTTTCACCCACCACCCACCCCTCCCCCAGCTACTTACCCAGTCTTTGGCGCAGGAGGAGCTGCTGAGCTGTCGTGCTTGGGGCGCTCTGTGTGAGGAGAGGCACACTGTCACTTGCAGACTCTAAATCTGCCACAGAACGCCAGCTCCTTTTTTTTTTTTTCTTTTAACAAGTGCCTGTGGTGAGCACAGGGCTGGTGTCAGAGGTGGTAGTTCCAAGTACAACCGTGCTCTTGATGAATAAAAATCCATGCTGACAGGAGTGACACTGCAGTCACTAATGTCGGTGAGGAGGGGAGAAGAGAGCTGCTGGTGTTCCCAGCTTACCCTGCCTCTACACATGCCCCTTCTGCCTCCCCCTTGTCCTGAACCTGCAACTGAGGAGAAAATAGGGACAGTAGGATATGGTTCCACAAGAGGGACAGTCCCTTCAAATCAGGACAGTTGGGAGCTATGAGTTAGTTGACTCCAGGCAGGACTGATTACCATTTCTTATAATGGTGTTCAGCATTGTTCCTATACAAGGTATGGATGATAATCTTCCACATCTGGAAAGACCACACCACCCAGTTACTGGTGCTTTTAGATTAATTTACCTTTCAGTTGTTTATGCCATATTTGTATATCAGACTATATATATATATATATATATATATATATATAATAAATACTTTTTTTGGGAGGTCCAGTTACAACTTTATTCTGATAAAAGTCAGCGGCACAATTCAAAAAGTAGCCAATGCGTTTTTTGGGGTCCAAGAACTCCCCCTTCAGCAGGGCTAGATGATATATAACATATCATGTGTTGAAATTCATCCTGGGTGACATTATCGCCGGAGATTGTTGATCCTGGGAAAAACCGATTGCCTTCAGGGTTCAGGAAAATTTTTTTTCCCTCGCTGTGGAAAAAAGTGGACAATGCTTTATACAGTCCGATCTGAGAGAGTTCTATCTATACAGACAGGAGGGAGAGAGCATAGCCCACACCTCCTCCTGGCTCTATCCTCCTCTCTGATACTGTCACTGCTCCTGTAGTGATGAGAGGGATGTGGTGGGATGAGAGGATTTGTGCTTTGAGGGGGGATTTGGAGGGGGAGAAGGAAGAGAATGTGTGCTAGGAGGGGGGATTTGGGAGAGGAAAAGAGATTTGTGCTGGGAGGGGGAATTTGTGCAGCAGAGTGGATCGGGGGGAAGAATATTTACAACTTACAGATCACTGAACTCTGCCTAACAAATGGCATTTTTGGATTTGTTCACACCAGGTGCAGTGCAGTAACATGTACGTGCGCACTGCCTTTTGGAGATTTGCGTGGTTGCCATTAATTCTCAATGACACCCCAACATATCTAGCAAATGCATGTGCGTTCGCAACCGCTAAAAATGCATGATACTGTAGTACCATACTTTTGGTGTGGCAGGATTTTAAAATTCATGCCAGCACCATTTTTCATATTTCACACTCACACACAGCAGCCCAATAAAAGAAATGACACACGGGAACGTATTTTCTATTTATTCATTTTTTCTTCTAGTTGAACTAGATGGACCTGTGTTTTTTTTTTGTTTCCTACCTGACTATGTAATTATATAGTGTAACACACCAACTGTTAATGCACTTACTTATGCAAGAATGGAAGACAGTTTAAATGTGGGAGCTTAATATGTGCTAAATATCACATCTAAAAATTACAAAAGGCAGACATTATTTTAAAACTCAGTAATATGCCTGGAAGTTGCATTGTTTGATATGTACAAATTATGTTTAAATACCTGGTCATATCTTGAGATCCTATCTCTTTACTGCTCCAAGTTTCCTTATGAATCAACAATTATAAACTCAAGAAAAGAAAAACTAAAATTAATAATAACAGAATATCTAAAATATGTACTGCTATTGGAAAATCACCCAGTCCTGTGCAAGTAATGTGTATAACTTCCTCATTACAGTGTATCAGTGTGTAACACGCTGCCAGCAGGATACCACACACAGCAATAATAATCTGCGTCATCTTCTAACAACACTGACTTAATGGTTAAATATCCTGTGTTCTTGGAGGTGTCTTTGGATCCAGAGAACCGATCAGGGACCCCGGCTCCTTGGTGTTTGCTACTGTCACTGTCATACCTTAACAGATACCGGGGTCTCTCCCCTGTTTTCTGCTGATACCAGTACACATTGCGATCACCTATACTGAACCCAGTAAGTGTACAAGACAATGTCACCGTGTCCCCAGGAGAGACTGATTGAGCGGCTGGCTGGGTCACACTCACCTGAGCAGCACAATCTGAAATACAGAAATAAATTCATATAAACAGTCCAGCAGGGATCACTTGTAATATGGACATTAATCTTCCTCTTTCTCCTATAGCTGGTCTCCAGCTTAGACATTAATAAACCCATTTCCCCTCTTACTTGTGCAGAATAATAGAGAGGTGATGAGTAGGGCAGACCACGACATGGTGCAGGTGACTCAGCCACAGATCTCTGGATTGTATTCTATCCCCCTGTGTATTAAATACAGAGTGCAGACATCAATGTAAATGTGATCAGAGCTGATTGGACAATGCAGGCTCCTCCCCTACACCTGTCTGTCTGTAGGATTATGTATAATAAACTATACATTGTACAACTATCATAATCTTCACCCCCTTCAGTCACTGCTAGAAAGATGTGAGCCAGTGCCAGGGTGATACTGAACACTTAGTATTTCCATGATTATACGCCAACATTCTTCTTGTGTTCTTTTTCCATAATGGAGGTGCCCAGATAAGAGTCATCTAAGGGATTTCATTACAATTTACTAACATTACCTAATATTACAGTTGTTTTGTGATTTTGCCAAGTGCTTAAAGTGCATCTCGCATCAGGTATGTATTTTCAGGATATGTCATGAATGCTAAGTAATGTGTAGCAGGTATTTATTACTTCTTACAGAGATCACCTTACCCCCCCCCCCAACAATATCCAAATGTACTTTTTTCTTGATAAATAACTGCCTTTATTCAGGTACTATCTAGGTTTCAACATCTATTTCCTGGACTTGGATAGTGACACAGCACCTTGTGACTTGCTACAATGACTGATCATTGGGGAGGAGGAGACTGAGAAAATGCTGCAGAAGGCTGATGATATCATCTCTGCCAAGGCAAAGTAAAGGAAGGTCAAGGACTGTTTTAAAAGTTACAATTTGCATTTAATTAATGATACTGTTGGTTTGACAAGTGAGGAATGTATTCATGTAAACTTTTAAAGTTACTTAACAGTTCACTTAGGCCAGGTTCACATATGTGCAGCCGTGCGGGCCACATTTTGCGGAGACACGAGAGACCATTCATTTGAATGGACTCCCATGCCTAGAGACACGCAGGGAAGAAGTCCCTGCACTGCTTCTGGAAACGCAGCCCGCACGGGAACTGAGGCTCTCAGTATGGTTGTGATTTTCATTGCGGGCCTTTAGAATTAATGACACTCGCCTGCAGTTCCCGTATTCCTCTGTGTGGGTGGTGCGACTGCACGTATTTTTGTGCGGGTCCCACAGCGGCACCACTCGCACAGATGTGAACCAAACCTTAAAGTGAAGCCCAAGGAAAAGGACATTTAGGAGGTGCTGGGACTTTAATGTGAGTTCATACAAAGTAGTGATGGGCCGAATACCCCCCTGTTCGGTTCGCCGTCGAACATTCAAACCTAATGAAAGTCTGACAGCAAACTTCGAACCGGGACAATAAACTAAGCGGTATCCTACTGCATATGAGTATGAGGTAAGATACCGCACAGCATTTAAAAAAAAAACCTATTAAAATACTGAGTGAGTTATTTGATTAAATCATGCAGTATTTTAGTAGTGAAAACATGCTTTAATGTTTCACTGTCAACAGAGTACCCCACTGACAGCTGAATGTAAAAAGAATTGCTGGCAAGTAAAAATTTTGCATAAAAAAACGTTGTGGGGTCCCCCCATTCATACCAAGCCCTTCAGGTCTGGTATGGGTTTTGAGGGGAACCCTCATGGCAAACTTTTTTTAAAATGGCGTCGGGCCCGTCCCAAAATCTATACCAAAATCCATACCAGACCCTTATCCGAGCATGCAGCCTAGCCGGTCAAGAAAGGGGGGGGGGCAAGCAAGTGCCCTCTCCTCCTGAACCATACCAGGCCACATGCCCTCAACATGGAGGGGTGCTTGGGGCAGGGGGGCTCCCCCCAAAGCACTTTGTTCACATGTTGATGGGATCGAGGGCATCTTCCCTATAACCGTGGCCAGTGGTTATGGGGATCTGCATGCGGGGGACTTATTGGAATCTGGAAGGCCCCTTTAACAAGGGGGCTCCCCAGATCCCACCCCCCATGCGAATGAGTATGGGGTACATGGTACAGCTACTTATTTACAAAAAAAAAAGTGTAGCGTAAAAAAATTACAGCAGTCCTTTCTTAAAACAACAAAAAAATTTAAAAAGTCCCCCCTGAAGTAGATCCAATGTGAATCACAATGCCTGCTGCCACCACTGACCCAAAAAAAGAGAAAAAAAGGTTCTACTCTCTGACAGCTTCGTTGGCCTAACAGCTCCTAAATAACCAAAGGGCGGGAGCCACCCGTTGGTATCAACCGTGTGACCCTGCCCCCTTATGACATCATCATGTGCTGTGATTTGCTAAAGAATTGCACCTGACCTGTCGTCAGGTGCATTGCTTTGGCAAATCACAATGCACTGTCAGAGCGCAGTGCATTGTGGGGCACAGCGGGCGAACAGCCCACTAAATGCCCTTACCGTTTGTGTGTTCGCTGAACACACGAATGGCCGATGTTCAAGTCGAACTTACGTTTCACTTGAACATCAAGCCCAACACTAATACAAAATAGTGAATGGATGAAAAAATGTAGGGTGCTCACGTTAGACTGCTCATAAGAACCCCCAGCATGTTACCAAAACAAGAATGCACTAATGGAAGGAGGGCCAGGCCAAAGATTAAAAGATTGTATATTCATTTATTAGTATTAGTATTTTATACTAAAAAAACAGCCAGAGCATTTTGGGTTCAGAACTGTCCTTCCCCCCACACATCCCTTCATACCTACAAAAAAAACCCCCACAATATACTGTAAATGTGACTGATATAATCATAAGTCTAACAATCATAGAAAATCAATAGATAACTTACATATACATTATATACATATGTGTACATTTCTGTGCATACATAACTACATACATATGTGTACATACGTGTACACATGCATAGCAATGAAAATAAAGAAATATCAGGTGTTGCTAGAGTCTTTTGGGACAATGTGAATGGTTTATGAACTCTTCCTATGATTCGTTTTTTCTGACCCCAAAAGTATATTGGCTGTTTTCTGTATCCTCTTTAATTACAGTAGCAGTCACGTTTGCATGATTCATAGCAAACAAATCTTAGAACAAGGAATATTATGATAGAGCAGCCCATCTTAAAAAGTCTTCCAAGACATATTTACACTGATTGCTAAAGCTAAATTAAATAAGGTTGTAAATCATAAGAACAGTACAAAGAGAAACTATAACCATGGCGTTCCTCTAACTGTTTCTAGAGCTGCTCAGGAGCTTTGGTCATGCCCAGTTACCCCAGACAAATGGAGAAAAGTTTATGCGATGCTTCATACTTGTAACATAAAATGCAGCGCTAACTCTCCAGTGTGTGAGGAGAGTGTGACTGTACGGACGGACAGTGAGAGCCGCTCGGTGGATTACTACTTGATTGGCAATTAACTTCCATGGTGGAGATGCATAGGAGGAGCTGTCCCTGTATGCTGTGAGGGTCCGGTCTGTGAGGTCTGGAGTGCCTTTCCTGTGTGCTGGGTGTGTACCAGTGGAGCCCCCTGTCCCCGCCAGTACCCTGATGACCACCAGTGTTTCCCAGATATTATTACATGCGCATTAATATTGCACTTCCGAAGAGTGCAAGCATACTTCAATCCCTTACCACTGAAGTCACGAGCACGGAAATTTGACGCATAACTTTATGGACTGCTTATATCTCAAGATATATTTGTCATTTAATTTATTGCCATTTTATATATTTGCTATTTTATACATTTGCCATTTGATTTATCACTTAATGTGAAATTGTTGACATTATGGGGTTTATTTACTAAAGCTGGAGAGTCCAAAATCAGACTCCCTTCTGCATAGAAACCAATCAGCTTCTAACCTCAGCTTGCTCAATGAAGCTTTGGCAATGAAACCTGGAAGCTGATTGGTTTCTATGCAGAAGTGAGTCTGATTTTGCACTCTCCTGCTTTAGTAAATAAACCCCTATCTATCATCCATTCACTTTTTATCTCATCACCAACTGACGACATATTTGTTACGCTTTTTAGCGCATTTATTTGCGCCTTACCTTATGCACTTGTCACTTTCTCATGATTTTCAGTATTTAGCGCTGCATTTTATGTTACTAGTTTATTTGAGGATACAGGGGTTCATCCTTTATGCTAGCAGCTGATTTGAATCGAGCGCTTGCTTGCTACATATTTTAAGATGCTTCGTACTTTTTTCTGGTCCCCACTGGTGTAAATCCAAGTGAAGTGCTTATAAATTTGAAGCTTGAAGGTGTCACAAATAACAATTTGTCACGATAACCATGTTTTGGTGGCTCTCTAGATCCCTTACCATAGCTGACGTTAAGGCCAGACTCCACTGGACTATCTCGAATGAGAAAATAACAGCAAAACAGATACTGTGTTTTTCCAAAATGTTATGTGCCATGATTTTGATTGATGGCTAATGGTTCTCTAGGATACATCCAAATATATGTAGTTTGCCTACCTATAACCCCAGGTAGCCCACGAAAACTCCTCCATTCTCCCATTGCTGGTTCCACTTTCTACTCCCTTTTGCTCTTCTCTTTCTGAGAATTACTGCCCCATCCTAGGTAACAATCTGTGGAAACGTTCTGTTATGAATTCTGTGCACACGTCTATATTGCTGTAGGATTCCACCTCAGTTGCCAATGGAGATTTGCTACGACCTATCATAACCTCCAAAAATAAGTGAAATTCTTGAAAACTTTTCTTCAATAAAATTTGTGAGCAAGAAAAAGAAATGATAGAACCCAAAGGCTCATCTTTGTGCATTGTGTGTAATGCACACATATTAACCACTTGCCCTCCTGAGGATTTATCCCCCTTCCTGAACAGTCCTTTTTTTGCGATACGGTGCTGCGTTACTTTAACTGACAACTGTGCGGTCATGCAACGCTCTACATAAATGAAATTTATGTCATTTTATCCCCATAAATAGAGCTTA